TGGGCTGGGGGTTGGCTCCCGGGTATGAAGAGAGGGGGGGCTTGGTGCTCGAGCCGAAGGGAATGTGGAACGCCGGGGTGGCGGCGCTAGTGAAGGCCGGCGCCGGCTGGCTGCTGGTGACCGGGGCGGGGGTGCCGAGGCCGCCGCCGAAACCGCCGAAGCCGGTGGTGCTGCTGCCGCTGGCGGTCGTTGGCGCGGCCCCGGGGAGGGACTGGACAAAGGTCGTGACCGTCGTCGAGGCGGGCGCGGCAGGAGGCTTGCCGAACTGGAATATGGAGCCCACGGCCGGGGTGAAGCTGGCACCGGAGGCAGGGGGAGCCCCGAAGAGGAAAGGCTGGGCAGCGGAAGTGGTGGTGCTGGTCACGCTGCTCACACCAAAGCTGAACGTGGGCTTCGAAACAGAGTCTGTGGACGTGCTGGCTGTACTCGTGGGAGCCACGGCTGAGGTGGCACCGGCCTGGCCGGTGAAAAGAGGGGTGCTCGTGGCAGTGGCTGGAACGGCCGTCTGACTGAAGAAGGGGACTGACGAGGGCACAGACGTAGGGGGCCCGATGCTGCCGAAGATCGGCTCGAAAGTGAGCTTGGGGCTGCTGGCAGGCGCAGGGAGGGCAGAGCCGGAAGGGGTCGCGGTGGTGACCTTGGATGGGCTGGATGGCAAAGGGCCCTCATTCTCGCTTTTTGGGGGGGCCAGAAAGATGGGCTTGAACATGGGAGATGCCGAGGACACGGCGGGGGCTGTGGAGGTAGGGGGGTCGGCAGGTGGGGTGCTCAGCATTCCCAAAAGAAGACTTTGCTTCGGGGTGGGAGACGGGGCCGATGTCTCAGCCTGAGGAGCTGGAGGGGACTTGGTGGGGTCAGTGGCTGGGATCGGGGAAGCAGCAGGGGTCAGCCCTAAGAAAGCGGCTGTAGATTTGGAGTCAGAGGAGGTGCCCGGAAGGGGTCCCGACTGTGAAGACCCAAGAGGGGCCGGAAGGCTGGGTGTCTTCGGAGGTGTGTGGGCCCCAGTGGTTGCCACTCCAGCAGATTCTGGAAGAACAGAGAGAGTAAATTCTGAATACCTCAAATGTGATGGCATTCAACGCTTCTCTCCCTAGCACCGTGCTGGGGATTCAGAGTCCGTCAACAAATTGTGACGACATCCACACCACAGACCCTTAAAGTATCCACCCCTTAAAATCAAGGAAACATTATTTCCACCCTTCCCCGATCGTAGGATACGAGGGGATACGATGTGGCCTCATCGGGGGGTAATGTGTAGAAACTAAGGAAAACCCAATCACCCAAACTCCAGTCCCGTTAATTTCCCAGATGCACCTTACTTACTACTCGTCCAACAAAGACTGCCTGTTTGCCTACTGTGCTGAGTGCAGGGTACATAACCACGAATGGAAGAGTCTCTGCCCTTGAGCCCTGGGACGGGCTGATGCCGGATAGACTACTCTATGTTAAAGGGCAACAAGAGGAGTGTGGGCACATGCAGTACCGTGAAGGACCCTTGGAAACCTAGAGGGAAAAATGACATCCTCTTGTGCCTGTGGTCATGTGACAAGACTTGGTAACCATGGGATCACATTTACATCTCAGAGCCACCTCAAAGGTAAACGTGTGCATTTTACAGAGGACAACAGCAAGGCTCTGAGTGGCTCTGGCCTCCAGAGCCTCCGACTGCTAAGACTAAGCCGTGGACCCCCTTCCCTAGAACCTCCTGATGAGAGAATTCTGAAGCTCGGAAGCGTGTGCCAGCTCAGGACTGCTGAACCACATCAAGTTCAAGCTCCCGAAGGCCTTCAGGGACTGGCAGGCATGACGCCTTTACTCCCACGTGACCCATGGACGGATGCCATTCGACGCCGCAGATGGAGCTCGCCCACTCACCCGAGGAAGGGGGTGGGCCTGCAGAACTCTGCTTCTTCTTCAAGCTCTCCAGCAGCGGGTTGGGGCTTGGGGCTGGGAGGGCGGCTGGGGAGGCGGCGGTCCCAGTAGTTGGCAGGGTAAACGTCAAAGAAGGTTGAGTAGTAGGGGGCTTCTCGGTGCCAGAGTTAGAAGCCGTATCTAAGGAGAAAGAAAGGTGCTGGGAAATTCTTTCCAGGGGCACATCACGTAGCACTAGACGCTCACGGACTCGGTATCTGCTTATTTAGAAATGCTTCCCCTGGGGCACCTGGGAGGCTCCAGGTGAGCGACTGACTTCAGCTCAGGTCATGATTCACGGTTTGTGAGTTCAAGCCCTGAACGGTCAGTATGGAGCCTGCTTGGGATTCTCTCTCTCTCCTCTCGCTCTCTGCCCCTCCCCCATTTGGCATTCTCTAAATAACTTAAAAAAAAAAGCAAGAAAGAAAAGCTTCTCCTTGATTCCAATGCTCATTGTTCTCCAGATTCCACTGAGGCCTCAAAAGGATTTGTCAGATGAGAAATATCCAAATAAAACCAGAGGAAACTCCTCTTTGCAGCCTGAAGCTGGTCAGTCTTCCTTACCAGTCCCATCCTCCAAGGCCTTGTTAAACCACCGCAGCGAAGCTCTTTTTTCCAAATCTAGATCTTCGGCAGTGATGGAGTAGCCAAGCTGGGGAGGTGGGGGCTGCCAGAGAGAAAGACGAGAGGCCCATCAGGGAAGCTGCAAGAAACCTGTATGGAGCTACCCTAGAACTTGGGGATGCCGAGCTGGGGTGGGCGGGTGTGGACAGACAAAGCCATACCAGGGTCAGCCGAGCCCCTCGCCGGGAGGGTAGCAGCTGAATCTTTCGCTTCCGCTGCCCAGAGCTGCCAGGTGTGGGAGGGGAGCTCCACGAGTTCTGCGCCTTCCATGTGGTTGTATCTGCAGCTAAAGAAACAACATGGACTTGTTTTCTTCCTCCTCTTCCAGAAATGACCAAGTTTGTCTATCCACTTGGTTTTTAACACTGAATTCTCACTGGTTATGTCTGAAAGATTTGGTCTTCCGTGGATGGGGTCTTGGAGAGTTTGCAAGACGGTTTCTGCCAGGAGGGTATCAAGATAACTGCTCCAAACACAGGCATACAAGTGCTTACTGACAGCAGTCACCCAGGCTGCTCAGAGGCCCCCACCAGCGCTCATCGCCAGCCCACAGATCCACTGGCCGGTGCCGTAGCTGCCTGTGCCACAGACCACAGACCTCTGCACCTACCAGGTCCTGCACACAGCGATGCTCAGCGCATGCTTCCGGATGAGCAGGGGTCTCACATGCTCCATAAACACTCCCACCACCAGAAGCCACTCCTGCGCGCTTCACAACCTACCCTTTTCTCCCTGGGCCTCCTTGTCTGTTGCCAAAGGAGTTGAAGAACTGGAGCGGTGAGAAAGCTCGTCCTCTCTGAGGGCAGAAGAGGCAGAAGCGCATTTAGAAAGACTTCCTGATACAGAGTATCGGGTAACTACTTACAGCCTCGTAACTACCAACCCTGCCGAAGTCTAGAACAACTGTGATTTAAGATCACAGGCCAGGACAAAAAATAAGAGAAATCAAAAGGAAATTCCTACAAAACGAAGGGAGAAGTTCATGGAAGCCACGGAGAAACCTCTGTCTCACAACAAGCACGAAACGAGAACCTTCACAACCTTACTTACACCTCGCCCAGTTCCCGAGAGCTGTAGCCACAGAGCTGACCCCTAAGAGCAGCAGTCTAGTCGCCTGTTGGTGCCTGGAGATCAGCTGGGGTCCAGAACATGAACTCTCCTGCCCCTGCCATGATTCTCTGTGCCCCCTCTACCCTGTGGCCTTTGCGTTCACACCCCAGTCGCTTGTGCTGCAGGATGAGGAAGAGAGCCAGAGCCTCCAGGGTCAGCACAGAAGACATTTAAGAGGCAAGAGCAGTTTGGGCAGGTACTTCACTGTCCTTCTGGATGGCAATCTTGGATCCTCCGGATCGGAGCCGCAGGAGGCCTAAGAGCCAAGTACGTGTGCTTCCTTTCCTGCCCTCTCATTAGTCTGCAGTGCAAACAAGGACCCGTTACCTTATTTTCTTTGCTGGCCTCTCTGGTGTCTGCGAGCGGGATGAGGCTGGGCTGGAGAACGGTGACAAGCTGGGCCCGCTTCTCTTCCAAAGCTAAAAGGCAAAAAGCAGTGACACGATTACCCTACTGGACAGCGTGACATCCACCTTCAATACAACTTTGTATTCTGTTCATCGCCACACACAGGGTCTCCTCCTCAGTGACAAACATCTTTTGTGGAGCACCTGGCTGACGTAGCGGAGCATGAGACTCAATCTCCGTGTTGTGGGTTCGAGCCCCACGTTGGGTGTAGAGATTACTTAAAAATACGATCTTTTAAAACAAAAAAGGAGCACCTGGATGGCTCAGTCGGTTAAGCATCTGACTCTTGATTTTGGTTCAGGTCATGATCTCACGGTTCGTGGGTTCAAACCCCACACTGGGCTCCTTGCTGGCAGCATGGAGCGTACTTGGAATTCTCTCTCTCTCCCGTTCTCTTTGCCCCTCCCTGGTGCATGAGCTTCCTCTCAAAAATAAATTTAGAAAAATAAAAATAAAGAAAAACATTTCTCTGTGAAGGAAGGCCCCTGAAGGAAAGTCAGTTGCCAGTATTAACTACGGGGAAAAAATCTGAACAAGTAAGGAAATGCTAATAAAGTACAAGGAACAATGTACTTTTTGCATATATTAAAAAGTAGAAGGTTACATTCAGTCATGGTTTAGAGCCTATGACGCATCCAGCTTTACTTTATGTTGGCTGCAGAAATTACACAATTAAGAAGCTTTCCCAACCCCCCTCCCCGCCTCAAAAAACCTATTACGGCAAAGGTAAGCCAGTAAACTAATAGTCTTGCTTTTATTAATTTTTGTTTTACTTCGACTTTATTTTTTTTAGGTATATTTTGAGAGAGAGCAAGTGGAGAGGGGCAGAGAGAGGGAGAAAGAATCCCAAGCAGGCTCTGCACTGCCAGCACAGAGCCTGATGTGGGGCTAGAACTCACAAACTATGAGATCATGACGTGAGACAAAGTCGGATGCTTAAGCGACCGAGCCACCCAGGTGCCCCCTGCTTCAACTTTATTTTATTTTTTTTTATTTATTTTTTATTTTTTTTAAAATTTTTTTTTTCAACGTTTATTTATTTTTGGGACAGAGAGAGACAGAGCATGAACGGGGGAGGGGCAGAGAGAGAGGGAGACACAGAATCGGAAACAGGCTCCAAGCCATCAGCCCAGAGCCTGACGCGGGGCTCGAACTCCCGGACCGCGAGATCGTGACCTGGCTGAAGTCGGAAGCTTAACCGACTGCGCCACCCAGGTGCCCCTCAACTTTATTTTTTTAAGATGTGCTATCATGACATTTATGACTTATGCAGTATCTATGGTATTTGCTGTTACATGATTATTATCCAGACACCTGTCTCCTCCAACAAACAGGCAATCGGTTCCTTGGTAGCGAAGGTCTGTTCTCACCTTCCCCTCCTGCAAAGCAGCCTCGGTAACTGACCAAGAGCAAGCACCATGAAGTTTCGTGAAGTCTTTAGCTTAATTACAAAAATACTAATAACCTATCACTGCAGACATTCTTCCAGAAGTTTCTAGTGATTTCTTACTCAGTAACAGTTATATAAGCACAAACAAGCAGACAGCAATCTTTAATAAAAGTCTGAAGAGGTAAAGAAGAATTTAAACTCAGAGACAGGTGGCGAAAGTGGTGAAAACAGGGCAACTCCGTGAGACCAGTATCAGGACACCCGAGGCTGAGAACGGGTGTGAGAGGAATGCTGGTGCACTCAGGGAAAGAAACACAGAACAAAAACTAAACGCTTGGACCTCACACCTTACATTTTTAATAAAGTACGAAAGATGATTCCAATGTTTAGCCAGGGTTAAGGACAACCTGGTTTAACACTTAAGGGGAAATACTGTACCCCCACTATGTCTGTCACAGGTGACACACACACACACAATCCAGATGTGACCAAGGTTTACATGTAAGAAGTGTCACAAAAAGACTAAAAAAACCCAGATTAGCTGTTCCATACTATGGGCCAGGGAGAAGTCTGTGCCAGAGACAGAAGACAGAAAACTGACAGACTGTCACATAAAATCGCTACGTAAAGAACCTCTCTGTGGAAAAGTATCACGCGCAGCAGGGAGACTCTATGTGCCATCTGTCTTTTCCACCATGCTCACATTTCCATAAAATCGAAATAAAACCCTTGTAGGCTGGAAATAAACACACCCCAAAACAAACAAAAACTAAAAACAAAATTAAAAGGCAAATATTTTCAGGAAGAGTTATTATCCTTAACATGAAAAATGCAAGTCCTGCAACTCCACAAAAATATAATGAACGTATCAAATGAAAAACAGGCAAAAGATGTAACAAGGAGAGTCATTAAAAAAAATAGTCAATCTATACTTCTAACAGTCAATTTAGTTCTGCGCTATAACTCAACTTTGATTTGCAGAGTCCCCACTTCACAAGAGGCTCTAGACCTTTCTACTTTACAAAGAATGCCAAGATGAGCAAGACGGTTCCATCAAGAAATTTACAGTGTGAAAAAGAGGAAAGAACACAAATCGACTGTAACAGCCAAAAGACAAGACAGCCTTTCATGACTTAACAGAAAGCACCTGAAGAGTGCCTGCAGTGGGATGGACGTGTTATTCCAGAGGGAGACCAGAACAAAGCAAAGGAAGGCAGCAGGTAGGAAGTGCTCTTGGTAGATAATAAATGTCACGGTCTGGCTGCAACGTAGAACATAGTTACGGGGCACAAGGGTGACAGGCAGGTTAGGCCTGGAAGTGCTGATGGCAAGGGTAAATACATACGCCTACTCTGGAAAATGAGAAATCTGGTAAGACACAGGGAGATATCAACGCCACGCACAAAAGGTCAGAGGACAGTTTACTTTTTCTATAACTGGTACCAGTGTAACATCTGTGATGATTTTGTATCAATGCTAGGACTTCCAGTGTAGACAGTTGTAGATGTGGATATTTACTAGTGTTCCCCTGGAAAAATATAGTTAAAATAAATACCTCTACTACCACCTGCACCAAATGTAAGGACTGACACTGAAATTGATTACTGGAGATGATCACTACCTCAGTACATTTTTTTCCAAAGAAACATAAAGAACGTTCATATTGGGGCACCTGGGTGGCTCAGTCGGTTAAGCATCCAACTATGGCTCAGGTCATAATCTCCCCGTTTGCTTCAGATTCTGTGTCTCCCTCTCTCTCTGCCCCTCCCCAGCTCATGCTGTCTCTCTCTCTAAATATAAATAAACAAAAAAAGAACTTTAATATTACTTTATTTATTTAGAGAGACAGAGAGAGATGGAGAGACACAGAGAGAGACAGTGCATGCATGTGAGCAGGGGACAAGCAGAGAGGGGACCAGTAACTACTTAAAACAGAATACCAAACAGTTATTAGTGTCAGGGAGTGTATTTCCTGCAACAGGTCAAAGGCTCCACCACAAATGAGGCTGCTTAAAATCTGACCCACTTCCAGGCAAAGGCTGACCGTGTTGTTTTACACTAACACTCCCGCCAGAGACAAGAAGCAAATGCTGAAGGTCTGACCTACGTGTGTTTGAAGGTATGGCAGTACGGAAGAGCCAGCGGGGCAGTAGACATCGTGGAGCCAAGGGAAGAGGAGCCAAGGGTTAGCCCCCATATTTAAGTCTACTTTTTCTCTCATGGTGAATGCCAATTCCAAAAGCAAAAGCTATAGTTGAGAGGCACGGAAAAGCTTTTGGCAGTCTCATATGGCTGGAAAGACAAAAATGAATTCAGGGTCTTCCAAAGTAGAGGGTCCTTAATAAGACCTAAAGCTTTCTGGTTGGGATCCCAAAGACTACATACGAGGATATAGGGCAAATCAGAAATAAAGCAGCCCTCACGAGAACTGACAACCAACTCAAAACCATGTCAATTCTACCTGGACAGAAGTAACCTGCCACTATCCTAACTACTGCCCAAGGTAAAGTAAAAAAGTAAAACCTCCCTGGAGAAGACACCATCATTCAGAGCTTTAAGTCACCATTACTTTTTTTTTTTTTTGTCTGACACAGAAATAAAGCAACAACAAAAATATATAAGAAAGTAATAGTTATCCAATACCCCAGAGGAAAAAATCAGACATCAAAAACAGACCAGAAGACTCAATGCTGGAATTATTGAATAAAACCTTAGAAGAATTGTTATACAAGAATTTAAATGACAATATGGAGAATCCTGGCACACCAACAACAACTGTAAGAAAGAGAATCAAAACTACTTAAGATGGATGGCAGTGGATGACAGAAAGCTAAAGTAAATCAGTAAACTAGATGAAGGAAGACTAGAGGTGGAGACAAAATGACAGGAGACACAGACAGACACGGACAAAAGGAAAAGGTCTACCATGTGCCCTAGAACACTGAGGAGGGGAGAAAATAGGGCAGAACAGTATCTGAAGAGATAATATTAGGTTGAGAGCTTTTCAAAACATATCAAGCCACAAGACAAACTCCAAGGAATATAAACTGTAAACGAGCACTTCATAAAATTTCTTTTCAAGTGAAGTTGGAACACTTACCAAAACTAAACATGTACTCAGGCACAGAGCAAATCTCAAAACAAGAATGGATAGAGGAGTATATCCTGTGAGCTAATGGAATTTAGCTAAAAACCAGTAACAAAGAGGACAAGGAATTAATGGTTTTGAAATTAAGCAATGAATTTCTAAGTAACCCATGAATCGAAGAATGAATATGAAAAATTCTTCTATTACAAAGCTGTGGAAATGCAGCTACGGTTAAGTTTGTAGGAACTGTGTAACCTTAAATACATATATTAGAAAAGGGAAAACAATGGAAAAACCCCAGTGATCTAAGAATCTGGATTAAAAAGCCAGAAAGAAATCCCAACAAATCAAACATGAAAAAAGAAAAAAAAAGGAAAAAGAAAAAAAAAGAAGTAATATCTATAAGGGCAGCAATTAAAGAAAAAGGAAAGCATAAAATAGAGTGACTTCTAAAATTCATTGATACATAACCTTGAAAAAGGAACTTCCTTAATCCAATAAGGAGTACCTATCTACAAAATACCTGTATTAAA